TGCCATACTATTGGTGTCAGGGGAGGAACAGTTCCCCAACGATGGCACCATTGGGAGGAATGATGCCACATCATTAATGTTAGGAGGAGGAATAGTTCCCCAATGATGGTGCCATTGGGTGGAGTGGTGCCATATCATTGGTGCCAAGGGGATGAATATTTCCCCAACAATAATGTCATCGGGAGGAATGGTGCCACATCATTGGTGTCAGGGGGAGGAATAGTTCCCCAATCATGGTGCCATTGGGAAGAATAGTGCCACATCATTGGTGTCAGGGAAGTGATAGTCAAGTGCCACCTATCCTTCCCTCAAAGTTTATCATTACTGTCTTTGTCTTTCTCTCCCGGTGACAACCGCTCCCCTAATTTCTTGTTAAGCTGTCGCAGTGGCACTTTCTCTGTCAGTGGCAGGAGGACCAGAAAAAGGGGAGCGTTTGTTACTTTGGCAGAAAGACAGAAGAAATCTTCCTAACAGATACTTGCTAATTGCTACTTGCCTGGCTGTCAGGGTCACTCTCTTGCTACAATACCTTGAGCCACTCATCCAGAATAAGTATTCTATATGGGGAAACACATGTGGACACCTCACCAAAGGAGTTCAGGTGTTTCCAGTGAAGAGTACTGCTAAAACATCAAAAAATATGTTTTGGACAATTATGGGCTGGCAACATTTCAGCAACACTTGTGGAAGGCCCTTGTGGAAGGCCGGTGTTCTATCGAAAGCTCCAACTCCTCGAAATCTCCAACTACCTCACTTCCGGGGCTCAGAAAGACTGGAGCTCTGTACAGTTGCGGTGCGCATGCGCGCATAGCGTTTTCAGAATACTCGTTGAGTTTGCCACCTGCTGAATATTGTTAAAATGCAGCTGTCCAGAGCTCCGTCAGTCTTTGTGTTTTGCAGTCTAATGCCGTCTGGTCGTAATCTGCAACTTGCAAGTACCCGGCAGTGAGGTAGTTGGAGATTACGACGAGTTGGAGCTTATGATAGAACACCGGCATTACTGTTCCCCTGTGCACAGATCAGCCCCTGATGTATTTTCGTACCTTCTGACTGGTTACACAGTTGCAGTCTGATCACCAGGGGAGGGGAGACTGGGGAAATGCTTCCTCTTGCCTGCAGCATGCCAATCATATGAATTTAATATGAATTCCAGCCCTCATGAAGAGGACCCCCAAAATGTGTTGAAGAAAATATACTGATTATTATTACCTCCCGCCGTCACTGCTCCAGGCCCCCCGCCGTCACCGCTCCACGCCCCCTGCTCTCGTTTGCCCGGTGCCCGGAACTATATGTCCGGGCGTCGGGCAATACGAAATCAACACTGATGCGCAAGCATTGGCGTTAGGTACCGGGGCATTTTCACAAGTACAAGTACTTGTGAAAATACCCTGTATCGGGCCCGATACCGAAGCTAGCATTGGGACATCACTAATTATAATATATTATTATTAGACATAGTTTATATACTGTAGCACCAACAGTTTGCCCAGCGCCTTACAATATATTGGGAAGGCGTTACAGTTACAATACAATCCAGAACAAGATGGTTAGGAGGGACCTACCCATGAGAGCTTACAATCTAAAATGGAGGGGCAAGTGATACAAAAGGTAGTAGCTGTGTAAGAATGAGTTGTTTGGGAAAGTGATAGTTCAGCACTGCAGCAGACAGATGGCATCATCTCATGGCGCTCAAGGACGGTTTTTTATTGATAAAAGGTGGAGCTTTTCTGGGCAAATGATGCCACTGCCTTATATTGTGACATGTCAGGAATTTATTCAGCAGACTTGTAAAGTTAATAATAACTTTAATGTAACCTCAAAACCTAAGCACACATTAGGCAACCATGGACACCAGATGACCCAAAACCGGGCAAGTTTACGTTGGAAAACATTGCCTGGACCGATGAATCTTTATTCTGGTGCGACATGCCGAGAGTAGGGTCAAAGTCTGGCGTATACAACACGCATCGATGGGTCAATCCAGTCTCATGAGAACGGTTCAGTTTGATTGTTGTGTAATAAAAGGGGAACATTTTCTTGGCACACACTAGATAACTAAAGAAAGAATGAACTGTATTTACATGCCACATCAGAATCCTCTCTCCTGAGTATTGCTGCTGCCCATGTGCCCTCTTTATGGGTACTAGATTGGTGTTATTGAATAATGTGCTCATTAAATGTAAGCTGGCTTCAGATATCCGTTCTTATTGTAATTCATATTCAGAAATTTATTTTTTTAAAGCGAAAATGGTTAAAAACAAAAACTGGGTGAGAAGGGGGCAGGAAAGAAGATCTGTTCCTTCTGGGAAAACAAGCATCCAAAACGTTGTTGGGAAAGAGTTTGCATAACCTAAAATGACTGGGGCGAGATGGTAACAACACAATACATGATATCCCAGGGGGCATCCAATTGGAATTACAAGGGACTTATATTTACAATTTTGGCTATGAAAGACCACAACATTGCCCAATATGTTTTTGTCACACACGTTCAGGAATGTTCTGAATTTCTGTTGTAGGGTCACAAGTTTGTCGTGGCATGTACTCATTCTCTTCCCAACATCCCTTGGGAACCATGATGCCAGTCCCAAGGTGCCTTTTTGGGAAATGCTTTTGCAACTCTGTGTCTCTTCCAATGTGTCAAGGATATGGAGCTTCTAAAGATTTGTTTTATGCGCGCAGTATGCTTGATAAATATATACTGTCAGCACCATCATCGAAGGGTGGACACATTGGAATTGAGGTTGAACTCGATGGACCTTGGTCTTTATTAAACCATACATACATACTATGAGTCGAGAACCTTTCCAACTACTAGTGCCATGATGCTTCATTCTTCACACCTATCATCCTGAAACGAGTGGGGCAGGATAAGCACACAAATATTCAGGAAAAATACTCACCCCTGCAACACCTCTGTCCAACCAAGGCATGAAGAATTTGCCACTGAAAGACAAATTTTCATGTATTTGCAAACACCCCCATGGTCCACAATCAGTACAAAAATTGATATTGAAAATAATCTACAGCTCATTTACATGCTCTGGTGTTTTTTTACTCTCTTATCATCTCTTATTCCAAATGCTGTAACCCCCTTCTCGTTGGCCTACCTCTACACAGGCTATTCCCCCTTCAGTCTATCATGGATGCCAGTGCTAGACTCATCCACCTTACCAACTGCTCAGTGGCCAGCACCCCTTTCTGCCAATCCCTCCACTGGCTTCCAATAGCATAACCATAGAATAAAAAAATAAAAAAACAACAGCAACATACAGAGCCATCTACAACTCTGCCTCTGGCTATATCTCCAACCTCATCTCAAAGTATCACCCTAGCCATCCTCTATGATCCTCCCAATACCTTCTGCCCTCTAGTTCCCTCATCACCTCCTCCCATGTTCTCCTCCAGGACTTCTTCAGAGCCTCTTCCATCCTCTAGAGTTTCCTACCACAACCTATCTGGCTATCTCCTTCTGTGTCTGCCTTTAGGAAATCCCTGAACACTCACCTCTTCAAGGAATCCTATTCCACCTCATCTGAAAAAACTGTACTTTTACTCCTTCAATTAGCTCATTCCTCACATTTATTACCTTCTGTGTCATTTGCCCCTCCTTGTAGATTGTAAGCTCTCATGACCAGGGTCCTTTAATCCTTTTGTATGTGTTGCTATATAAATCCTGTATAATAATAACATGAAAAGCAAAGCAATAGTTTCAGCATAGAGTCTAAAACAACTCTGAGGTTAGCTCTTGTAGAATGCAGACTTTGTGGTCTAATTTGCCTTAAGGCCTCATTCACACAGCTAAGCATCGGCCCGTACAGATCAGTCCAGCGTGCACGGCCGTATCGGGCTGTTCCTGGGAATGACAGGTGCTGCGGGTGATTGTACGCAGCAGCCTGTTCTTCTCTATGGGAGTACGTGGCCGTATGCTCACCTGAGCTGCACATCCGTGCGGGTGTCCGTACTCATACTTAGACAGGATGGATCCTGTCTGCGTCCGAGCATGAAAACTTGCACCCACACGGATGTGCAGTTCGGGTGAGCGTACGGCGACGTATGCTGCATACTCCCATAGAGAAGAACAGGCTGCTGCATACAATCACACACAGCACCAGTCCCTCCCCGGAACGGGCCCGATACGGCCGTGCATGCCGCACGGATCTGTACGGGCAGACAATTAGCAGTGTGAATGAGGCCTTACAGTCTCCCCTGCTCAACCCCCAGGAACCATAGCGGTCATGTGGGCTGCTACAGCTATAGTTATACCACTGAAAGGGTTAGAACCTACGTGTGATTTTATTTTTGAGGTCTGGGTCCCGTTCAGAAGATTTCTCTTCAGCTCCTGTCCCACAGATATAACAGAAAGGGAAAATAAATTTCTCCAAAGTGATGGGAAATCCCTTCTTAGACAATTGTCACATTGGAGGAGTTCTCCCTCGCCTCCTTTTCTGGTGACAGCTGTAAAATTTTGGATTCCCCATCATCTTCTACCCTTGTCATTACAGCTCATAGAGAAAGGTTCAAACACTTCTCCTGTCTAAAACTAGACATGTCGTAATAATACAAGTTTTATACAAATACAGTGTTTGGCCTAAAAGAGTAAGAATTGTGGAGGAAAGGGCAGGGAAATCCGGCTTCAAGGTTGTTGGGAGCTGTGGCCTGTTGACTTTTAAAAGTAGTGATTAGTTTGCTGGTTTCCATTATTGTGTGTCTTGGCGGCATTAAAATAACCCCTAGCTCCAAGTTGATGCCTTGAAGGTCATTTTTGAACCTTGTTGGCCTAAGTTGCTACTGCAATCATCCACGCACACTAAGTCCAAGTTGGGTGACGGCCTACTAGTCTAGACGAAGGTTTTGGAAGGTTGGTAGAAACATGCACACCAAGAGGAAATCCATACAGACATAGGATGAATATAAAAACTATCTGCACAAGGCAGTAAAATATAATACTGTAGATGCTGATGAACAAATATCACAAAGTTCTCTTTTCTTGTATGCAGAAACTCCAGAGGATCGGCCAGACAACATGCTCGTGGACAACAACTTGGACGCTGGGCCAGTGGTGACTAATGATAACTTACCAAGGAAGCCCCAGCGAACATCAATGAAGGATATCGCTTTGACTCGTGAAAGAGCCAACGAGCAGCAGAGATCCAAAGTCAACAAGCATCTTAATGAGGACAAGAAGAACGCACGGCCTTCAGTGCCCAGGGTGAGAATGTCACTCTTTAACCCAGGACTTGTAGAGGACAAAGTCGGCGATGGCCAGATGGCTAGTTGTGTTTTAGAAGGGTAGCCTCAGCTCTGAAATTCAGGTCAAAAATTGGCTGCTCAGTTCTGAGATTGTCCTTCTGGTTTTGGATGCGTTAAACATGGTGTCCTTAATGCCATGCTAGTAAGAAAAAGGAGCATAGTGGCGATATTGGTCAAATGGCCATTGAACTTGCTATCTCGGTTTAACCAAAAGATCAAAGAGCAAAGAGCCATGGCAGAAAATGAAATGGAAAGGAAGACTCATGGGTGGAACTCTATAGACGACCCCCCCAGTTCGTGTTATAATTGTCTGACACAGATTATCCCTTGCTGCAGAATTACAATGTTGCAGTCTGATCACAGGGGGAGTGGAGACTGAGGAAATGTTTCTTCCAGCCTGCATTAGACTGATAGCATTTTCTCAGCTACTGGGCCAAAGCCCAAGTATGGTTTATCAATGATAAAAACCAGAGCTTTTGTAAAATTGATCCTGTTGGCATATATTGTGACATGTCAGGAACGTATTCATGCAAAGTGATAGGGCCACTTTAAGCTTCTATAGATTGAGAAATGCAGTGTGCTTTCAGATGCTTACTTTACAGGCGCATTTGACCTCCTTCTAAGCTGCTTCTGCATTCTCATTGACTTGCAAAGGCATAACAATAGCCATAGCAGCCCACGCGGCTGCTACAGGGCCTAGGGTAGGAGGGGGCCCCTATTAGGGAAAACGAAACAGTGAACTTTCTAGTATAGAATGGCTGAAGTCAGACCTCAAGATCTTGCTAGTCATAGATCCCCCTCTTTGCAATAAGAAGCATTTGCTTAAGGTGGCCATATACTGGTAGATTTTCAAACAAACTTTCATATAAAAAAATCTCATCAGAACATTCGATATTGCCGTCAGAGACTTGATGACTTTAACCAGCTTACAGCCAGCCTAAAGAAGAAGATAGAGCAGTACAACCTGTGCAGTGCCGGTTTTTATGATGACATTGGTGTAGGAAATTATAATTATGCTCTCCTGATATAAGAGTATAATTGCAGTGTGTTGGTGTAAATTGTAGCTGTGCAGTTATCATCACCGCAGTCTATAATAGTGTCGTGTGCTTTGTGCAGAGTCTGTGTCAGCAGCAGCTGGACCAAGTCCTGGAGAGGATCTCGTCCATGAACCTCCCTGATGAGAGGGGTCCGCTGGAACACCTCTACGCCCTCCACATCCCCAACTGCGACAAGAACGGCCTCTTCAACCTCAAACAGGTCAGATGGTTATACTGGCAATGGGCTCCATTAAGCATAAGGCAACTCTGGTTTTGGGTGTTCCTGTCCATCTTTGTGTGTCCCAGATCCTCCTGTTACATTCTCCTTAATATAAAATAGATATAAATCCATGTGACCTGGAAGAAGTATACAAATACGAAGTTCTGACTTCACTTGCTGCATGCCAGCCATAAACGTAATATTTTAATTATAATTTGAGCCTGGCGGGCTAAGTCAAAGCCCGACTTCTTATATGCCTTGGATACTCTAACAGTGAGCTCTCACGGCCATAATTCCCATCTCTGTTCCTGTCCACCTGGGAGTTTTGGGTGTTCCTGTCCACCTTTGTGTGTTCCAACTCCTCCTGTTACAGTCTCCATAATATAACATTTATGAAAACCCAGCAGGGATGGTGGGGACCCCTCATAATGGACACAGCAAGTGCACAGACCAAGGAACTCCATGCAGGGTTGGCGGGAGTCTATCATAATGGGAGCAGCAGGTGTACAGACCCGGGAACTCAATGCAGGGATTATGGGAGCCCCTCATAATGGGAACAGCAGATATGAAGACCCAGAAACTCAGCTAAGGGATGATGGGAGCCCCTTATAATTGGAACAGTAGGTGCACAGACCTGGGAACTCAATTCAGAGATGGTAGGAACCACTCATATTGAACACAGTAGGTGTACGGACCCTGAATCTCAGTACAGTGATGGTGGGAGCCCTTCATAATGGGCACCGCAGGTGTGTATTATTATTATTATTATACAGGATTTGTATAGCGCCAACAGTGTGCGCAGTGCTTTACAATATAAGGAAGACATTACAATCCCAATACAATTCAAGACAAGAAGGTAAGGAGGGCCCTGCCTGTGAGGGCTTACAATAGACCCAGGAACTCACCTCAGGGATGATGGGAACACCTCATAATGGGCACAGCAAGTGCACAGACCTGGGAACTCCATGCAGGGATGGTGGGAGTCTGTCATAATGTGAGCAGCAGGTGTACAGACCCGGGAACTCAATGCAGGGATTGTGGGAGCCCCTAATTATGGGCACAGCAGATGTGAAGACCCCGAAACCCAGCTCAGGGTTGGTGGGAGCCCCTTATAATGGGAACAGTAGGTGCACTGACCTGAGAACTGAATTTAGGGATGGTGGGAGTCCCTTTTAGGTGGAGCAATTCTTTAACAACAAGGGAATGCTGGTTACAAAGTATCAGGAATGTGTGGTGGGTGGGGGGGCGGGGGGGGAAGGTAATTGGTACGTTTTTACTATTCTAACATATGCCATTATTTGCTCTTATAGTGCAAGATGTCTGTGAACGGTCAGCGGGGTGAGTGCTGGTGCGTCAATCCCCAGAACGGCAAGACGATCACGGGAGCACCCATGATACGAGGAGACCCGGAGTGCCACCTGTATTATCCGGGCAACGAGGAGGAGCGCAAGCAGCGTGCGCAGTAGTCCGCCCGCGTACTGCCAGTTAATATCACAGTGTCTGTATTTATACATAATGGGGTTAAACTGACACAATATGACAGTTTTGAAAATGGGCTGGTTGAAGTGTAAGCTCTTTCGCTCAAACTTGTCTTTGAAACCTCCTCGCCATTACTACCAGGCCAAGACCGTCACTGTTTGGCATCATCTGGAAGGTGCCATTTCCATTTTTTTTTTTTTTTATCCTGTTAAACTATCCCAGTTTAAAAACTTCACCTGCATTGCCCTACATGACAGATCTGGTGCCTAAGGACAAACGTAGACAGCCAATCAAACATGGCGGAAGTCATGTGACACTAGGTGCTCAAGTTTTGATCTGTCTCTACACAAGTGGAATGCAATAACGTTAAAATGATCCGTGCTTTTAACACACCTGGTCTTAAAGTGAACCTGTCACCCGCGAAGCAACAATTACTTTCAGTTGTTAGATTCCTACTTCGCTGAATAATCTGCAGTGGAAAAGCTGGAGTTTTTGCCAGTTTCCTGTAGCAGAAAACTGCCGGGAGTTGGGTGCTCTCAAAATTTTGTTATGTCATTGTAACATTAATTCTGACACTGACAGACTCAGCAACTAACACGCTACCTTATCTGCTTGGTCAACTGTTGCTTGTCCAAGAGTTGTTTTTTGTTTTTTTTGATGACAGGTTCTCTTTAAGATTCAGTATTTGCGTCAGAAAGTGAATATTTCAAGAGCTTGCGCTTACATGCACAAAATGCAACATACGTCTTCGCAAACTAAACAAACATTCCACGTCTGATTTTACTTTCTTTAAATTATTGTATCAGTGCCAGTTTGGATTGTACCACTGACAGGTCTCTGTGTTATTGCAGAAATTACCCCCCTCCAAAAAAGTAAAATCAGCTATTCTCATTGTCAGTATATGAGGAGATCTAAAGAAGGCCTTTGAGCATTTTAGGGAATTGCGAATTAACTTTACGCCAGACCAAAAAAAACAAAGGGGTAAAGTGCACCTGTCATTGTGCACCATAGAATCCGCTATTCTGTGTTCAGATGTATTAGGGATTGTCCTTATCACTGAACCATGAAATTGGGAGGGAGGGGGAGGGGAGCATTGTGTGACTTATGACCCAATAATACTTCCTAATAAATCACGCTGAATCTTTGTTCAGAAAACACAACAGACTTCCTCCCTGAATGGATATTATGTAATGGTTCATAAGCTTTCTTTTACCTGTTCATTCCCTTTTCTTTTCCTTCCTGGTTCCATTTTTACTTCCATTCATTCTCACGTCGGTTTCCAGTTTTCTTTTCCTTTCCCTTGCCATTTCCTTTTTTCTTTACCTTCTCCCTCTCTATTACACTTGCAAATCTATGTTCTTTTTCCTTACTATATGCCTTTCCCTTGACAGTTCCCTCTTCTTCCTTTCTCTGTCACTCTCCTATCCATCTCTCTTCCAAATATCACTTCCATCTCACTTTTTCTTCCCTCTTCCTTTCTCTTTCATCTTGCTTTTCCTTGTCCCTTGCCACTTGCCTCTCCCTTTTACTCTCCCTCCCTTTCCCTTACTCTATCCCTTTCCCTTACCATTTTCCTTTCTCTTACCAGTTCCCTATTCTCTCTTTTATGTCCCTGTCCATCTCTCTTCCACTTTTCTCTCCCTTTTCACATCCCCTCCCTCTCTCTTACCACGTCCCCATTTGCATTTTCTTTTCCAGTTTTCTTTTTCTTACCACATTCCCTCTACCTTTCTCTTACCACATTCCCCTCCCTTTCTCTTACAACTTCCCTCTCCCTTTCTCTTACCACTTCCTTCTACCTTTCTCTTACCACTTCCCTCTTCCTTACAAATTCCCTTACACTTACACGTACCAATTTCCTCTCCCTTCCCAATTGTCTCTCTTTTTCCCTTACTGCTTCCCTCTTCCTTATTACTTCCCTCTCTCTTTCCCTTATTACTTCCCTCTCCCTTTCCCTTATTACTTCCCTCTCCCTTTCCCATTCTACTTTCCACTACCTTACCTCTTCTCTCTGCCCTTTCCCTTATTACTTTCCTCTTCCTTACCACTTCCCTCTCCTTTCCCCTTCTAACTTTTCTCTCTGTTTCTTCTCCCACCTCCCTCTCCCTTCCTTAATACTTCCCTTCGTCTCTCCCTTCCCTGCAGAATCTAATCCTTCCCCTTCTCTTCCTTTTTGCTGCTGCAATTTACTTCAGAACACTTTCCAGTTAATGATAACAAGAAGACGGACTATGTAGAGTCATTGTGTGCCATAAGACAGCTCCTCACCATCTCTGCGGCCGGGAGCTCGTACTCATGTACAACACCAAGAGCAGAACATAACATGTAATGAGACCACTGAGAGCAATACAAAGGAAACCTTTCCTGGGAAATACATGAAATGCTACATCTCCGCCTGTCACGTTTATCCTCTGGCTTCAAGTTTTTGGACCCGAACGGTATTGACTTTCCTGACCAGTATACGTGTTTCGGGTCAGTGACTTAGTCAGTGACAATGAACAGATCCATTGGCCCCGTAAATCTCTGTAAATGTTCGTTCTACGCGCATGGATGCACAAAAGGAACGTTCTTGTATCAAATTTTGTCAAACGTTAGTCAAAAAAGTCAATGTTTTTAATGTTATCTTGTAATACCAGATTATGGCTACTAGATGTAGCTGAGGAGCTTAGGAAATAAGTATAATAACTTCCGCTGCTCCTTAGCTTCATCTAGTGCCCATAATAAGGTATTACATAGTTACATAGTTTGTAAGGGTGACTAAAGACCAAGGTCCATCCAATCCAACCTATGTATGTGAGTGTGTGTGTATGTGTGTGTGTGTATTTTTCTGGCTTTACCACTTCCCATATCCCTGTATATTCTGCGAGAGAAGAAACTCATCCAGTGGTTTCTTGAATTTATAGAATTTATCCGCAGATCCCACCGCCTGTGGGAGGGAATTCCAAAATGTCACCACTCTCACAGTGAAATATCCCTTGCGAATTCTACGATTGAACCCCTTCTCTTCTAACTTCTTGTTGTGTCCCCGGGTTCTCAATACAGTTTTATGATTAAACAGTTTATTCCTAATATTGGGGCCCCCATTGATGATTTTGAAGACGGCAATAAGGTCCCCTCTGAATCGCCTCTTTTCTGAGGCGAATAAGTTAAGATTTTGAATGTGGTCTTCACAACTCAGGCCTTCAAACCCTTTAATTAATTTTGTAGGCCTTCTCTGACATTCCAAATACATTCAACCGATAAAGGAAAATATAACAAGATGATTCGTTTTGTGTATCCAATTCGTAAAGAATGAACATTCACAGAGATCAACAGGGCCAATGGCTCTGCACATTGTTTATAAGTAGACCCCCAAGTACTGAAATTGGGGGGTCACCATAACAGGCCGGCAATCAGTCATTGTATTGCAGCCTCCATGTTCCTCTTGCGAAATGTTTCCTTTAACTAATACCTTGGGGGGATAAAAACCTGGGGGACATAAATCTGGGGGACATAAACCTGGGGGACATAAATCTGGGGGAAATAAACCTGGGGGACATAAATTTGGA